CATTTTTTACGCCATTTACGGTAGGTAATCATTGAAAATGTGAAATGTAGAGAGGATTCGAGGAATGTCGTGTTTGGCGTTTTCTACTTTAGTCATTACCCGTAAGGCCGTAACTCGTAAAACGTTACGTATAATATAACTATGTAAGTACGTGCCACTGGTGCAACCGGTATGTACTATGTTGTAGACAGAATCTGATGTGTAGACTGACCACTCGGAAGTCACATTATGACGCTGATTTAATCAAAATAATATTGAACCTATATTATGTTCAATGATGTTGATTTAACCACAGAATAGATAAAATCTATTCTGTGATTTAACTGGCGTGAGTCGTGATTACTCGTTATGATAATCAGTTTAATTGCTGTGACATTGAATTTCATAAAAAATAAACTAATATGTAAACATGTTTGTATTTAGATTGATTTAATTATCATGTTTTATGTGATGATAAACTGCGACGAAAGTTTTTCTAAACAACGTTTTATGCCTGCATATAGATAAATGTAAAATGTCTGCCTTTCCACAAGTTGAGGGTTATCAAATAATCAAAAATATTGGAAAAGGAAGCACGTCAACTGTATATCTAGCTCACGTAAAGGTAATTATACTTAATATATTTTAAGTTTCAATAGATTCTTGGTCGATTACGGATTAAGCTGGTTGAGTACATATTTGAATTATTCCATTGTCTATATGGTMTTAAAATGAGAATCAAATGGAATTTCAAGTAAGACCTACTCTCACATCTTTGGTTTGATAAGTGTACTCCAATATATTCAGTGCCTACTTGAAACATTATTTTATATTTATATGTCTGTATAGGTATCACTTTGGTGATTGATTTACTGTTGTGAAATTGATAATACTTACTATTATTATTGTTTTAAATTTCAGGAGAAACCTAAAAGTATGGTTGCTATAAAAGTTATTGAACGCAGTAAATTGTCCAAGAGTGCGGAGGACGCCGTAGTAACTGAAATAGGGGTGATGAAAAAATTTAAACATAAACATATTGTTCAAATGATTGACTTTATATGGGATCGTAAAAATATTTACATTATTTTGGAGCATTGTGATGGTGGTGATTTGTCAACATTTATTAAACAACGCAAAAAACTATCTGAAAAAATATGCCGTAAATTCATGCAACAATTAGCATTAGCTTTACAGTTCTTAAGATCTCATAATGTTTGTCATCTTGATCTCAAACCACAGAATCTACTCTTAATGAGGTCACCACAACTAACTCTGAAAGTTGGAGGTTTGTACTCACAGTAATTTATACTTATATAGTATTACAATTTTAATGTTTTATAATTTTCATTTACCTACATTTTTGGTTCTAGATTTTGGTTTAGCAAATTTTATGAGTGAAAAAACTCAAATGGAAAATATTCGTGGTTCACCTTTATATATGGCTCCTGAAATGTTACTACTCAACCGATATGATGTTAAAGCGGATCTTTGGTCAGTTGGAGTGATTGCATATGAATGTATATTTGGACGTGCTCCATATGCTTCAGATTCTATTAAAGACTTATGTGAGAAGGTTAAAAGAGTCTCACCAATAGAAATACCACCTAATCAAGTCAGTCCAGAGTGTAAAGATTTATTATTAGGTCTACTTAAACACAATCCATCTGAGCGTATGAGTTATCACCATTTTTTTAAGCACCCGTTTGTAGACTTAGATCATTTGCCTACTACTGAATCATATACTAAAGGGCTTGAAGCTATTCACCAAGCAGTAAAACTAGATTCTGAAAAGCAATATAAAGCAGCATTTAGTAAATATTGCACAGGTCTACAATATTTGATTCCTTGTTGTCAAAGTAAGAATTTAAGATGTATGATTTTATTGTTTATTATACCTACCTTATTGCTTATTTATTTATTTTTTGTTTAAATATCTCTTATAAATATTTGGGGTTAGTGATTGTTTTCATACATTCAATAGTAAGGACGAGTCACTAAAGGAGAGATGGTTAAATTTTTTTTTTAAATTTCTAACTTAAAAATTAAACAACAACAAAAATTATAGTATAATATCTAATAGCAAAACAGTTTTTACACTTAACAAAAAATGTTTTTTTTAACTAATCTACTGTTTTATTGAATTCAGATTTGAAATTACATTTTTCTTGTACTTCMTTAAGGTTGAGGGTTCAAAGAGTTCRGAAACCATCTTTACAATTTAATAATAGTATATTTTTAATCTTACATAAGTAAAAAATTTAACAGAATCATTTATGTTGTGTATTTTTATAAGAAACCACTTATGTGGGTGTAAAACCTTATTATTAAATATTAATTTACTGTGATTTGTAAAAGTAAATTTTTTAAATTAAATGTTATGTACTATATTATTATATGTTGTGAATTTATCATGTTTAATTTTTGTTTAGACGAACCTGATAAAATTAAAAAAGAAGCATTTCAAATAAAACTGAATGAGTATACTAAACGTGCTGAAGAATTGAAAGCCACTTTATATGTTTCAAAGATCAAAATAAATAGTGAAGAAAAAACAGACAAATCTTCAACATCATATGATGATGACCGTTATCCAACATTAAGTAAAAATATATTTAAACTAGGAATTATTAAGAGGACGCCACACACACATGTGTTGTTTCCGCTTTACAAGTATGTAACAGCAAAGTTTATGTTTAGCGGTCCCAATTTAGTTCTGTTAGTTTAAAATTTAGAGTGAATTGACCTTTTATAAAAATTAAAGGTAACATTATCTAGGTCAGGCATGTCAAACTCAAAGTATCAAGCGGAACAAGTATATTAAAAAGTTTACTATGTGGGCACATATAAATTGTACAAAAAAAAATGTATTTCAATAAATTCTTACAGTTTATTAGGAGATAAGACAGTATAATATTATATACCGAATAAACCATTCTCCAAGAATCTAAGATAATTATGAAACAGAATTAATATWTTTTTTTTTTTATTACTATTATTATTTTATGTTGTTGTTCATTAATATAGGAATCCACTGGCTACCAAAAATTGAGCTAAGGGCCGCGTTTTTGACATGCCTGATGAAGTTTGTCACAGATGCTTTTCATTATATTTTAATTTTAAAGCAAGTTATAAGTATTTTAAAGTATACAAACTATTGAAAATTTTTAAAATACTCRTAACTCGCTTTAAAGTTAAAATATCATAAAAAGCCTCTTTGATAACTTAAATATTAATGTTACCTTTAATTTTTATTAGATGTCAATTCACTCTACTTTTTAAACTAACGGAACTAAATTAGAACTTCTGAGCATTAAATTTGCTATGTTTCGCACTTGTAAGACGAAGATGACACATGTGAGTGTAGTTTCCTCTTAAATAGTTATATTATAATTTATTATTAAAGCGTAGATTTTAAGATAATTGTCATTATTAATGAAGTAATAACTACAAATCGTAGTAGTTTAATAGTAGGACAATTTTCTTTTAATTACTGCATAATTATTGGTTATATGAACACTTGTGTATATTTTATTAAAATTTAAAATGTTTTGCATATTAAATTGAAAATTTAAAAAAAAAGAAAATATTATTTTATAAAGCAGAAAATTATATAGTTAGGTAAGTAATAGGTTTAATCATAGGTTATTTAATTTGTTTTAAATTATAAACTAGTTAAATTAATTATCACATAAAAATTGTGAAATTTTTTCATCATACACAATTAAAAGTTTTTTCTTTCATATTTWTTGTTTATTTTCGTTATTTTAGATGCATTTTTTTATGATATGTTTGATACTTTATAGTGTAGGCATGCCCAAGTTATCCAACTTGTCTTTGAAAATTTCATAGAAATTTGTATAGGTGGTAAAAATAAAAATTATAGTTAAAAAAAAAAATGTTATTTTAATAGCTTTAAAACTTAATATTTAGTATTTTGTAAACACACAATAAGAGTTATACATTTGGTAAGTGAACAAACATAATATTATATTTATTGCATTTATCAGAATGAATAAAAATTTGTGAGTGTAGTGTATATGACTGCAATATAAATATAATTGACGGTATTTTTGTTCTTTTTTATCTAGTATTGAATTGTATTTTTTGCTTTTTACAGCATCGTTATGTCAAAACACACCTCAATTAGCTAATGCTGTAGAAATTGCACTATCTGGTCAGATGTATTTAGTTGAAGGACAATATGAAGCAGCCGTTGAAAAGTATAAAATTAGTTTGAATTTGTTGGAAAAGCTTTTGGAAAAAGAACCTCCGGGTATTCGTTATAATTTACTTATCAAACAGGCAAGTTTAAATTAGGGACACTAAAAATTATTTTTGAAGTTAAAAGTATGTATATTTACATTATAACTAAAGTATATTTATGGTTTATTGATTTTTTAGGTGACTGATTGGACAAGTCAGTGTGAAAATGCTAGGTTACTATTACAGTCTAAGGATGACAATGTTAATGATCAACTGGTTGATGTTCCTGATGGATTTTCTCCAATATCCAAAGGTAAAATAGATAGGAAGTCTCCAAAATTGTTCCGTGTAGTTAGCAGACTAGTCCTGAGAACAAATAGTAAAAATAGCTCATCTCCTGAAAAAAAATAGAACTTCACTATATATATATATTAGTTTTTATTAAACTATTAAAATATAGTTTTTTATTGAATAATGTTTGATGCTATATTTGCAGGTAATTGCCTGTTAATGAGTTGCACATGTTTGATTTTATGTGTTGGCATTGTTTGTATGTCAAACTTGAAATTATTTTAGTTAAATTTAATCAATGCTATCTGTGAATTAAGAGGGTACAACAGTAATTATTTTTAAGATTTTGGTGTATGAGTTGTTTTCAAAACATTGAGTAAAATTCAAATTGAAGAATATTGCAACATTTAATGAAAATTGTTGATAATTTTCATAATGTTATTAAACTATTAATTTGATAGCTGATTGCTGCATAGTCATAACATTTTTGCTTGGCGAATTGACTCATATAGTCATATTTATTTCAATAAACAGAGTATTAATTTATAACTTTATTGTTACCAATTATTGAATTATATGGTGATAAGTGGTTATAATTAACAGACAACTGTTGATTTAAATTACTTTTCAAGTCTAGAACACACCTTTAGTTGTTATAAAAAGTTACTGTTGCATTTTCTTAAGCTTAAGATTTGCTTAATATTTTGTTATAATATTTCTATCAAGAAGACTGAAAATCATTTTAAATTGTAAAAATGTAAATAATTGATGCAAATTTTATTTAATATTTTACAAATATGTTCAATGTCTATTAATGTTCATAATGTATAATTCATTTAAAAATTCTTTGTTATTTTTGTAATTTGTTAGGGTTGTTATATTATATTTAAAATATCAATTGCATGTATTATGTGATTGGTAAAAAAAATAAAATGCATATTTTGTTTCAGATTCCTGTGTAATTCAATGAATTGTAACGGAATCTAAATGTTATTTTTTGCCTTTTTGCTTGCCTGCACCTATTTCGAAACTTTACTAGCATATTTTAGACTGTGATATTAACGTGTTCAGATTTATAAAATGTTATTATTTTTTTTTTATATATATATAGTTTTATCTAAAAATCTTGCAAAATATATTTGTTTTTTGTTAATATCATGATTTTCATGAATACGAATTTTATCTGAAACTTCTTTGTGTTAATCATTTAAAAGATTAACAAAAAATATAATATTATCATATGTTTACATAATTATGTATACACCCAGACTTGTTAGTGGAAAACATTTTAGGCAGTAAGTTGATGTTTTAATCTATTTTTTTATAATGGATGAATATCACTGGCGTAACTATTGGGGGGGTTAGTAGATAAAGGATGTCGAAACGGCCAAATTATTTTAAATAGTCTGTACCTAACTTATTAATATAATCTATATTATTATAATAAAATTATATAATATTTTGGTGTTCTCATGCATATTATGCTGTATTGAGTGCAATTATAGTCCATTTTGAGTTAAGGTTTTCAAAAGAGAGTTTAGAGCTTGCAAATTCAATAGATAATTTCATTAAATTAAATATGATTAAAAGCATGATGTTTATTGATCATTACCAAGTAAGTCAATTTATAAATACATATAAATTGAATGTAATAATTGTTTAATCCAATAAGACATCTATAGTTGTAAGTAATTATTAATTTATTTTATTAGGCATTGTTTTATATTGATATAGAAGCATAACGTTGTAAAATKACTTTAGCACACAACTGTGCCATACAGTTAAAACTAAATTTTGGTTAAGAAGTCTATCCTAATATTCATTCCTTACTTAAAGTAACCCTGATGGCTGATACTACCAATCAGTTCTGTTTCAGTTGCTGCGTGAACGATCTTTCTCAGCCATGCGTTGTATCAAAAACTGGACTAGAACATCTATGACACGAAATCGTTTCGGTTATCTTTCTGTATTGCACATAGAGAGAGATATTGTTAATAATCTTGACCTCAATATTATACTAGACGAATACTCAAAGAAAGAAGACCGTTGTATAGATTTAATATTATAGTAAAAAATGTGGATAAAATTTATTATATATCATGTATAAAATATAATAACATATAAATTGATATAATATATTATTATTAGTAAAAAAACAATTTTTACTGTCCTGTGTTGTGCAGACCCAGAATTATGGTTTTTGTTTTTTTTTAGTGCTTGATATAGGCAAATAGTGGTGTTAGGTCCCATAGAGTCACAAAAAAACTTGGAGCTTAAGCAACCCTACTTTAAATGTCTGGTTGCGCCAGTGATGAATATGTACGTAAATTATATAAGTTTATACATCAATACATAATTGAAAAAAAATATTTGTCAATGGTATTACTTGTACTTATATCACTAGAACATAGTGGAACATTAGCTAAGTGTAAATAGGTATGTAATTATGATATTTGTAATATAATTCTAATATTATGTAATGACAGATTTATTCACAGCTATAAATAATGGCTATTTAATATTTAATGTTTTCGATGCTAAAAATCAGAACTTCACAGAATTTTTTTTCAAATATGCGTAAAAACGATATTAGTACTCTAGTTAAGGAATCTCTAAATTATGGCTCGTGGGCCAAATGCAGCCTGCGAACAAGTTAAGAAGAATATCATCAGTGAGTATTTAAATTAGTAGGTATTTAGTATTATTTTAGTTAATTATGTAAGTAGAGATATTGTAGGTACCTACCTATGAAGTATGAAAAGTTGGCCAATGGGTATCTATAGGTAGTTATWGTTATCGGATGTTTATACATTGAAAGTCTGTTCAATTATTCTGCTTCGAAATTCAAATTATGAAATTATGACAATACTACCTACAATCTTCTATCTACATCATTCAAAGAAAGTCAAAAATGTACTTTTGTAATGACTTATTCTCCCTGAAGTGAATGAAATTATGAAAATATAAATTTTCAAAAATGTTAATACTTTTAAACTTTTAAAAGATTTTAAACAGTTATCTTATAGATTATTTTGCATGTACCTTTAACGGGAAAACTGTAAGAAACACTGGTATTACTGCTCTTATCATTTTATAGACTCCCTAAGTTCAAAACATTCAAGCATTGTTAACGAAACGGAATATTGAATACAGATGATTTGTTAACATATAGTGAAAACATAGTAAATTAAGATGTAATAAATGTAAAAATGTAAAATATAGCTAAATATCTTTTTAAAA